CGCACGCACCACACACACACACACACACACACACACACACACACACTCTCTCTCTCTCTCTCTCTCTCTCTCTCTCTTTCTTTCCGTCTCTCTTTCTCTTGTGCCGCCTCTTTCTCTCTTTGTCCATCTTATGATCTATTTCTCTCCTGGACGTGGGCAGTTGGTGGGTGCTCTGGTGTGGTTTGTTTCTTCTTTCCTATCAAACATCTATCGTCCTTACCTCCCCTCTTTCTTTTTTGTGTTTGTTACTCTCTTGTAACACCTCTAATCTTCGGCATTTATGTGACCTTATTGTTGTGCAAGTGCCGTAAAACTCTGTACTAAAACAAAACAATGTTTAAGTAGCCCTGTGGTGTGGTCTGCTCGGTTACTAAAAGTATGCCAGTCCCGTCTATTCTCAACAAAATGTGACTAAATGTGACTGACTGTGAAGTAACCCCCGCTCTCTCTGTCTCTGTCTCTGTCTCTCTGTTGTTGTATTGTCAAAACAACATTCCATTATATGAATAACTTTCAAAAGCTCGTCCCCAAAAGTGGGACGAAATTATGAATTTTGAAATCTAACAAACTGAAGCAAAAACAGTCTCATTTAATTCACAGTAAGATGAAGTCTTATTGTTTACTGAATTTAGTTTATTTAGACTAAAAGTCTTACCGGTTGTTGTTGGGTTGTTGTTTTTTGTAGTGTTCGATTAAGGGGTAAAATTCAGTTATTTGATGGACATGATGATGACACGATACTGATAAAGTGCATTGTGATTTGCAGGTTTTAATAAGATTTGCCTAGAACCCACCAGACTGCTATAGAAATGTGTCAATCAAGGCAAACAACATCGAAATTGACCAACTGTACCAAAATTTACTGTCAGATTTCCATTTGGATTACTGTCATACATTCATGTCCTTAGGGCTGATATGTCAATTTCTCTCTACCTGGTGATTTAATTTATAAAGTCCGAAGAACCTTCAAAAACCCATACGAAGTCATTTGATTGTCTTAATAAGAGATATAATTTTGAGTAAACAAAAAAGATGCCATGGGTTTCATCGAGACGAAATGTAACAAAACATATCTGGTTTAGCTTATTCGATGTTGTAGCCGATTACACCAAGTTTAATTGTAACGAAGAAAATACTAGTCGCTGTTCCCCTGGTAAAATGACAGCAGTCGCGTCGCTGTTCCGTGACGCAGCCTAAAATGGCTTGAGGGAGTACCGTGTTTGGAAGAGCATGTTTGTCTGTCTGTTCACAGACTGGTTCAAAGCAGTGCAGGGTCTGATGTCGTGCGCTGTGGCAAGCAGCTTGCTGTCGCTTATGATCGCTCTGTTCTCGCTGTGCTGCCATTGCAAGTCGTGCAACCCTCACCAAGCGGCGGGCGCCTTCATATCTCTCACCTGTGAGTAGCCGTGGTTTATTT